CTGAGAATCTGCTAAAGAGTCTAGCAATCCAAGCAGCTGTGGATGCTTCCCTAATATAAATGACCAGAGGTCCAGGCCGCAGTCAATAACCAACCTAGTAGCAATGAGCACCCCTAGCACGCAGATTTGTGGTCTGTTAATACCAATTCCAACTAAAAGGAACTACAGCTTCCTCAAAAATAGCTGATACAAGGTCTGAGGTAGGAAATCTGTGAGTTGGAACTTCCCAGAAAAGCAAAGGAAGTTACCGGCATGGTGGCTTATGCCTGTAATCCCCCCCACTTTGGGAAGCCGAGGCAGGCAGATCACCTGAGGTCAGGTGTTTGAGTCCAGCCTGACCAACATGAAGAAATCTCATCTCTACTAAAAATACAAAGTTTGCCGGGTGTGGTGGCGCATGGCTGTAATCCCAGCTACTCGGGAGGCTGAGATGGGAGAATTGCTTGAACCTGGGAGGCAGAGGTTGCTGTGAACTGAGATCGTACCATTGCACTCCAGTCTGGGCAACAAGAGGGAAACTCCATCTCAAAAAACCAAAAAACAGAAAAACAAAAAAACTTCTGGGTTTATGTAAAGGGACTTAGGAGCGAAACTGAATAGGCTCCTACTGGACAAAGACAGGTGAGTTGAGTATCAGTAAGATTCTAACCTCAGTGCATTGCAACACATCAGATATGCTTAAATGTATGAGTTTATAATGATACTTTAAAGAGAGAAATCTAGTCCCTAACTGCTTGATTTTCTCTCTGGTAATTATTAGGGGGATTAAGAGTCACAATTACAAGGAGCCACAGAGAAACAGGCATAGTGCAGAAGGGCAGTGTATTCCATGCCCATAGCTGTGCCCTGCCCATAGCCCATTAAACAGCTGCCATGAGACCCTTTCCTGTTGTGCATGTGTGTGTGCATGTGTGTGTGGTCTTCACCAGTGGGAAAGCTGCAGTCTTACTGTGTCTCTTCTTACTGTGCTAGAAGGTTTAACATATAGGATTTAATTATTGTTTTATCTGTAAATTTTTTAATTATACAGATGCTTCTTGATGTACAATGGTATTAAGTCCCAATAAACTCATTTTAGGTTGTAGATATTGTAAGTTGAAAATGCATTAAATACACCTATTCTACTGAACATCATAGCTTAGTCTACCTTAAATGTGTTTATGACATTTACATTAGCCTACAGTTCGGCAAAATCATCTAACACAAAGCCTATTTTATAGCAAAGTGTTGAATGTCTGATGTAATATATCGAATACAGTACATGATGTTGTACCAGTTGTTTACCCTTGTGATTGTGTGGCTCACTGGGAGCTACAGCTCACAGCTGCTGCCCAGCCTCAGTTCAGAGTGTTGTACTACACATTGCTAGCCCAGGAAAAGATCAAAACTCAAAATTTGAAGTATGGTTTCTGTTGAGTGCAGATTATTTTCACACCATCATAAAGTTGGAAAATATTGTAAGTCAAACCATTTTAAGTCAGGGATCTTCTATACAGGTAATGCATGCTTGTTCATAAAAACTTAAATACAGAAGAATATAGGCTATGCCTTCTTCCCCATCCTTATTTTTAGTTGAGAAATGGAGAGGTTTCCATTTTTTTTCAAGGTCACTGCTGGTTAGCTGTGGATCAGAGGCTTGAACTAAGATACTGACTTCAAGAAACATACCTCTTTTTCAAGTGGCTTGAGTCATCCTTGTTCCATTTTTCTTTAGATAATCATGATGTCATTTCCCTGAAGTTGTTTGAGCTGACAGTGGAAAGAACCCCAGAAGAGGAGAAGCTCCATCGAGATGTGTTCTTGCCCTCAGTGGACAATATGAAACTGCCTGAGAGTGAGCTCAGGGGCCCCTGGGAAGTGGTCCCCTAGCTGGGGAGGAGCGTGCAGTGCTGCATGGCTTCTGAGGGGCCTTGCATCCACAGTTCACAGGGCAGTCTCTGTTCTGTGCACTTCCCCTGAAGAGTAGGGAGTGCTTGCATCTGCCTTTCCCCTTGTCTTCAAGTTACAGATGAACAGCAGGAAGGCTGCTTTGTTTCTAAGTTGGAAAGAGGGAGTCTAAGCTCTGGCTTCCCAGAAATCAGGGATTAGACAGCCTGTAGTTTGATCCTTCCCTACTGGGTGGGCTCCCTGTTTTCTGACTTGCTTCTCTCTTGCTTCCTCAGTGACAGCTCCACTGCCACCCCTGAGTGGCCTGGCCCTCTTCCTCATCGTCTTTTTCTCTCTGGTATTTTCTGTATTTGCCATAGTCATTGGTATCATACTCTACAACAAATGGCAGGAACAGAGCCGAAAGCGCTTCTACTGAGCCCTCCTGCTGCCACCACTTCTGTGACTGTCACCCATGAGGTATGGAAGGAGCAGGCACTGGCCTGAGCACACAGCCTGGATGGTGTTCTCGTCTCTAGCAGCTGGTTGGGGACTATATTCTGTCACTGGAGTTTTGAATGCAGGGACCCCGCATTCCCATGGTCATGCATGGGGACATCTAACTCTGGTCTGAGAAGCCACCCACCCCAGGGCAATGCTCTGTGATGTGCCTTTCCCTGCAGTACTTCCATGTGGGAACAAAGAGGCGTGGAGATAATTTATGCCGTTGTGATACCAAAATCACAGAACAGAATTGCATAGCCCAGGCTGCCTTGTTGTTTGGCTCAGAGGGCCCTTCTACTTCATTTTTGAATCCACAAAGAATTGAAAACTGGTAACACCACATACCTTCCGGCCATCCATTCATTGGGTTTTGCATTTCACCCAAGCCTCTGCCTACCTGAGGAGCTTTCTTTGGAAACCAGGATGGGAACTTCTTCCCTGCCTCGCCCTCCTTTCTCACTCCATTCATTGTCCTCTCTATGTGCAACCTGAGCTGGGAAAGGCATTTGGATGCCTCTCTGTTGGGGCCTGGGGCCGCAGAGTGCACGTAGGTTTCATTGGCCTTCATTAGGTGGCCCTAGGGAGAGGTCTTTCTGCTTTGGATCACTGTTCCAGCTTCTGTTCTCTAGCATGGGTCTTGGGTTTATTGGTGTGTCCATGGCCTTCCCAATCAAGTCCCTTCGGGTCCTCAGTCAAGTTTGGCTAAAAGTTGGTATAAAAATCAAGAGGAGCCTGGAAGACATCATGGATGCCATGGATTAACTGTGAAACTGACCAGCTCCAGGTTTGATAACAAAAGCAACATTTGTCATGTGGTCTGACCATGTGGAGATGTTTCTGGACTTGCTAGAGCCTGCTTAGCTGCATGGTTTATAGTTATGATTTTTGGAATCCCACTTTGAGTATTGAAAGTGTAAGGAAGCTTTCTTCTTATATCCTGGGCTTGAATACTGTCCAAAGAAGAAATTTGACTTTTTTTTTTTTCTTAATGGACAAGAAATAGTTGCTGTTTTCATGTTCCAAGTCTGGGAGCAATAGACCCTCGTCATCTGTGCCTGGAAGAGTTCATTGTCATTGAGCAGCACAGCCTGAGTGCTGTCCTCTGTGTGTCAACCCTTATTCCACTGCCTTATCTGACAAGGGGTTACATGCTGCTCACCCTACTGCCCTGGGATTAAATCGGTTATAGGCCAGAGTCTCCTTGGAGGACCTGGAACTCTCAATCCTCCTATGGACATCTGTAGCCTAAATGAAATTCTTAAAATCTCTGATGGAACCAAACATGAGCTTCTGATTCAGTGTCCTTTCTTCTAGGAGTGGGTTTGGGGTAAGTTCAGGCCTTTTTTCTGAGCATGAAGCCTATCAACCATTGCTCTGCCTTCTTCCGGATTGGAAAAGCCCTCAGCTCAGCTCAGAAGAAAAGAGGATCACCTTGGCTAGGCACAGGTCTCTGTCTCTTCGGGCTTTCTTTTCTTCCCTTGCAGTTAGTTAAACAGCACAGGCTGTAGTGCTCTCCTGCAGGTGGAATTCAGGTGGGGCAGAAACGAAGCATCCTCCTACCACCTCCCCCCCCATAGTAGAATGGCTCCAGGCTGCCAGAAGACAAACTGTGACCTAGAACTTGACCTTGGGAGCAGAGAGAACTGAAAAAGAAAATGGCGGTTTTGTCTTTTTTGAGTTCAAGGAGAGATTATATGAACCTGTGGGAAGGACCTAGGTAGGCTCTTGAGATGACCAAGGCAGCAGTGCAGGTGGAAGGGATCTCATCAGAGGGGAAGGGCAGAGTGAGAGAGATGGAACCTGTAGGGTGTGTATGATTCCAGCTCATGAGTACCTTGAGGCTTTTTAAAGAGGGCAGGAGGCCGGGCGCGGTGGCTCACGCTTGTAATCCCAGCACTTTGGGAGGCCGAGGCGGGTGGATCACGAGGTCAAGAGATCGAGACCATCCTGGTCAACATGGTGAAACCCCGTCTCTACTAAAAC